CAGGGAAGGAGAGGACTAGAGGGTGTGGGGAGGAGGAGAGGGAAGAGCTTCAGGACAGAGGCTCAGTGAAATATGCCCAGATCCCCAGAGTTCCTAGACTCCCACATATTGTGTGAGTGTCAATCTGTGCCATTTCACATAACATTTTTATAAAGAAAGTTTAGAATGCCTACCTGGAGGATGAAATTCAATGCTGCCTGAATGCCTGGCCTGACCCAAATCAGAAGTGGGATGATCTGTTTTTGGCTCTAATCCCTACCTCTCTAGGCCCTCTGTCTCGTAGGCTCCAGCCCTCCTGACCTCCACGTCCCACCTCTACACTTAGCTGCCTATGCCCCTCATCTGCAGGGCTCTGTTCTGGGAGAGGCACCTCCTGTCCATCATGCCACCTTATTGAGCATTCTGCATGCATTTAACTCGTTCCCCGTCACAACAATTTTATGAACAGTGACTTGTGTTATCATTCCCATTTTACAGATGAGGAAACTGAGGAACAGGGAAATTAAGCGGCTTCCTCAGGGTCACACAGCTAGTTAGTGGCAGAGGTGGCTTGAACCCATGTCATCTGCTGGCAACAGTGGGCAGTTCCCAGAACAAGGGGATTTAGAGCTTCTACCTGCAACCTGCCAGGCCCCATCAGCACCCCAGTCCCTTGCTGTGCTCTCCTCTTCCCTTCCTTTCTATGCAGTCAGCATCTTTGTTCATGCTAAAAGCTTGTTTACAAGCTAAGCAGTGGTTGTCTGTTCACTGTGAGTCTGTAGGCTCCCTGAGGGCAGCCTTGTCAGCCAGCTTTGTTCCCCCTGCTTTGCAGTTCTCTGCGACCAGGACCTGTCACAGAAAGGCCACTCCGTACATGCTTGTGGAATCAAGAAAGGAATGATTTAGAAAGTGGTCACCCAAATCGTGGTCTTCTCTGTTTAAACAGTTTTTACCAGTCACAGCAGTGAGGCCCCAGACGCAGTCTGGGAAGACTGGTGTGTGAGTGTGTGTGTGTGTGTGTGTGTGTGTCAGCAGTGTCCTGGCTGGAAGCTGTCAGCCCATTGGGCTGACTGGGCTGTGAGTTGCCTGTGTCTCGTGGCAGCCTAATCATGTCTGACAGATTGATTAGAGGAGAAAGTTGCTGCGTCTCTATTGCAACAGACAGGGTGAGTGTGTCTCCACTTAACCTTTCTCATCGCACAGGAAAGCAGGGGGTACAGGCTGGGGTGGAGAGGAGGGGTCAGGCATGGAGGGTGAGCAGGAGGTCTGCAGAGAGACAGAGGGAACAGGGGTGGGCAGAATGAGTGAGCATGGATGAGCCAGAGGAGCTGCAGGAAGAGGTTGGAAGACAAGGGAGGCAGATATGGAGCTGGTGGGGCTCATCCTCATGGTGTGTGCAGGGAGCCCCAGCTCTACAGACATCCCCATTGAAGAAGTATTGCCCTCTCCTTTGGATCAACCGGGTGATTTGTTGGACAACCAGCAGGCCCACAGCCCTTGGATGTCCCTGAAGCCTGGCTCTGAGCTGCACTCAGGAAGGGAGTGAAGCAGAGTGAAAGTGTTCAGGAATCTTCAAAGATGAGCCGTCTGCCGGCCTGGAGTCGTGGTTCATTCTTATAATCCCAGCACTTTGAGAGGCTGAGATGGGCAAATTACCTCAAATCAGGAGTTCGAGACCAGCCTGGCCAACATGGCAAAACCTAGCCTCTACTAAAAATACAAAAATTAGCCAGGTGTGGTGGTGGGCACCTGTAATCCCAGCTACTCTGGAGGCTGAGACAGGAGAATCGCTTGAACCCAGGAGGCAGAGGTTGCAGTGAGCCGAGATCGTGCCACTGCACTCCAGCCTGGGCAGCAAAGAGTGAAACTGTCTCAAAAAAAAAAAAAGAGCCACCTGTCATGGGCTCCCCTCCACTCCTATGGCTGAATGATGGATGACCACTTAGCCCTCAGCTGGGAGGAGAGGAAGAACACTGGCTGGATTGAGAAAGCTGCAGAGGCCTTTGGAAAGCATCAGTCTACCCCTCCCAATTTCCTTCAGGATGCAATGGGTTTAGAGAAGGGAAGGAACTCTCCCTGGCCATTTATTCACCCACCATCAGTGGCTTCTCTTAGAGAAGCTGAGCCTGGTGGGTGCCTGGGGTGACCTTAGTTCTCCGGGATCTGTCCCCTCTGTCCTAGAGGCTTCACAGTGGGGGACTTATAACAACTGTCACACTAGACCCTAGAGAGAAAGTCGCTGCCTCCAGCTCAGCACAGGGTCTTCTCTACAATTCCACAGGGGTCACAGGATGCAATGAAACCCCCGTGTTTTCATCGAGACCACGCTACTCTGAATGAAGAGGCCCATTGCTTCTAGAAACCTGGCCACCGATGTTCTGAATCATTATACTTTTTCAATAGGGAAAGTCTTAGTGGCAGATACTATATGCTACCAAGCCACCCCTTATATTGTGTTTTTTTGTCAAACTTGTAAATGTTACGGGTTAACTGGGGTTGAAAAAACCATATATATATTCAAAATTTTATTTTAGAATGCTTAGCAGGAGGAACAAACTAGACAGAGCCAACAATAACAGTCATTATTATTGGGGAATTAGATCTGGGAATGAGAATTATATTTTTTGCATCCCCTCTGTTTTATAATTAGAAGAATTGGTGTTATTCTCCTAAAAGTAGTATGCCTGGTTTTGAATACACAAAGGATCTCAGTTTCATACATAAAACACATAGCAAAATGTCTGAAAATAAAAGTTTTAAAAGTCATAGTGGCTGTGTTGTGAAGCTGTGAACATTTTTTCTTTTCTTCTACTTCCTCTCCTCCTCTCAAAATCAGCTGCGTTACTAACATTGGGGCTACAGGGTGGGTGTAGGTGGGGAGGCGAGGACAGTATCTTTAACAAACAAAACATTCATTTGCACTATTCTTCCTCACCCTCATCAGGAGAGGCCCAGCAGAGAGGAAGATAATTGTAGCTTTACTGAAAGCTCTGGGCTGGAGGCCCTTAGAAAGACACACACAATGAAATCAGTTCAACAATCAGCAGACATTGTTAATGGCCTTCCTGAATCTGCCCCCTCCCTTTGTGTCTCTGGCTGTATTCCAATGGTGATCCTCTTCCCAGAGGCCAGGTGTGCTGCAAGTGTCCCTTGGCCCTGACTGGACCCCAGCGCTTTTCCACGGCACACTATTGGCAATTGTGTTACAGACGTGGAACATCTCTGCCCCGCAGGGACTGTATGTTCAGAGAGGCCCCAGATGTTACATCTTCCAAAATCTCCTCATGTCTACCTGTTCCCCAGTGACGCTGCTACACACTGGTTGAGACCCCCAGGAAGCCAATTACCGTGCCTTTATTTCCTTTGCTACCAATTTAAGAAAGGTCAGGAGTTAGGGGTTGAATTGTGTCCCTCCAGAAAAGATATATTGAAGTCCTAACCCCCAGTACCTGTGAATTTGACCTTACTTGGAATTAGGGTCTTTACAGATGTAGTCAAGACAAGGTCATTAAGGAAGGCCTTAGTGCAATGCGACTGGTATTGAGGAAGGAGACCCTTAGTCACCCCTAAGCATCTAAGACCACCTCCCCCTTGACGTCCACATTGCATTTCAATAGGAGAAGTAAGGGCTGGCAGACTAGGCTCCACCTTTAATTGCTCTCCTATAGATCGCAGGCAGGGGATGGAGGAATCTTTCTGGAAAGCATTGTCTTTACTTAAACATGGTCAAACCACCACCTAAGTCATGTTCCCCACACCTACTCCATGGATAGGAGACCCTTTCACCTGTAAATTCTAGAGTTGTAAGCCTTTATAAGAGCAACGATTTTTCTCTGCTGGGGGCTTGGCTATTTGGAGCATTTGACCCGCTGCAGCTCCCAGCCGAATAAATCACTTCTTCCCAGTTCCGTGTTCGAGAGGTTTGTTTCATGGCCTTTCACGCTTCAGTGTCATTATAAAAAGAGGGAAATGTGGACACAGACACGTGCAGAGGGAGGACTGTGTGAAGAGAAGTGAAAGATGAATTATGCTGCCACAAGCCAAAAAATGCCAGAGCTGCAAAGATGGAAGAGACAAGAAAAGAGCCTTCTACTGCATGTTCAGAAAGAGCACGGTCCTGTTGAAGCCTTGCTTTAGACTTCAGGCGTCCAGAACTGTGAGAAAATACATTTCTGTTGTTCTAAGCCGTTCAGCTTGTGGTGCTTCGGTATAGCAGCCCAGGAAACGAAAGCAGCAGGAAACTCTATTCTAGCCAATAGCATCTGAGGGAAAGCTGTAGCAGGAGTGGCCATGGGAAACGGATTTCTAGAACACCGAATAAAGGAGGGAGGAGTTTATTTGGCCGGGAGACCAGGCAGTAATTTGTTAAAAACCCAGCTCATCTAACAAAGGAAGATTCTGCCTTTATATAGGCTTATACTTTAGATGTTACATGCGGAAGAATTTTAGGTTCATAGTTTTAGGACTCACATGTGAAAAGGTTTTGGTTTACAGTTTTAGGAATCACATATGAAAGGGTTCTGGTTTACAGTTTTGGGACTCACGTGTGAAAAGGCTTCTGGTTTGATCTTGTTTTAAGTAAAAACAGTGCCTTTTGGAGAGTTTCCCCAAGGCCTAGCGTGTCACCTACAGGAAGGTAAAACCGGAGGCGCCAGTCGGTTAACCTTTTCTTCTATTGAAATGCAGCATGATAGTCAGAGGGGAAGCTGATCTGAGAGGCCTGGGTCTCCCTCTTCACTCCCCCCTTTGAGAAACTTACCACTTTATAATTAGTGAGAGGTTTTACCTTCAGTCTTACTTTTTAGATTTTGTGAAGAAACTGGTAATGTTTCATATAATATACTTGGTGATGTCATTTTTCGGCAGTGATGAATCCTTTAATTATTTGAAGGAACGAGGGAGTAGACAAAGGAGCAGCAAACAACACCTATTATTATAACACTTATGATGAGGGTTTTGAATCCTCCCAGGGATGAGAACCAACCTTTAAATAAGGACTCAGGGTTAAATCTGTGACATACCTGTACAGGCACGTGTGCCAGTTTGGTCATGTCTCGCACAGTATCCTCCACTGCTTGCCCCTGGTCATCTATGTGCAGACAGCAGTTGGTTAGATTGAATTTTCCGCAAACTCCTCCTTTGGCTGCTAGTAAATAATCTAGGGCCAGCTGGTTCTGATAAATTATGTTTTTTATTTGAGTTTTGTTGTTGTTGGGCTAAAAGGGACAGAGCTTTGCCTATTTTATTAGTGAGTATTTTTAAAACAGCCTGCAGCCGAATGATCCGGTTGAGCATGTAAGTAGGGGTATGGTATCCCCAAGAGCCATCCTCTGCCCATGTAGCCAGCCCATAATACTTAATAGTTTTCTCCAGTGGCCACTTATTATCTGTCCATTTTCCTATGTTTAGGTTTCTTTTTTTCTCTAGCGGAGTAGACCGAATACATTAACAGCCCACCTGTCTTAACAGATAATAGGAAGAGGGCTTGATGATGCCTATGACACAGCTACCTGTCCATCTCATGGACTACACACCTTATATTGAGTACCGTTATATAAACAGGTTCCCTTCTGTGCCCCGTACGTTTATAAGAACTGTAGGACAAGAGAATGGCAGTAACTTTTATGCCCTACCTGGTGTACATACTGAGGGCATTCTTTAAAATTAATGTTTCTACTGTACAAGTCTAAATATTAAGAAGAACAAATACTACGATGAATTTCCTCATGCTTCAGCCGTGCGTGGACCAGCCAGCTTCAGGGATGTGGCTGGAGCAGGGCTTGTTGTCCTTTTTAAGGTGATTCTGCAGTCTTTGCCTTGGTCTAAGTTTTAGCTGTTGCTGGTTTCTTACACAGCTGTGCTGGATTCAGGCTGGGATTCCCTCTACCTTCACGCCTGTGGGAGTGGTCAGGATTAGGTTTGAGGTTCTTTTCATTGTGACTTTAGAGGGGCTGTACTACCGTCTTTATTCACATGTGATTACCTAGTGAGAAAGGCTGAACTGGGGAGAAAAAAGGCTTACAGGACATTTGTTATTTATTTAGGTTGAAGTATCCTAAGCGATTTTTCCTAGAGCTGATAACCAGCATCCTAACTCAATCTCTCCCCACTCCCGAGGAGTTCCTAGGACTGCTCAGAGTAGGAGAGGGGGCCTATGATATAAGACTTTAGAGGGGAATATCCTGTTTCTCTAGAGGGGGTGCATCTAATTTTGAATAACACTAAGGGAAGTGCCTGCACCCACTTTAATCTTGTTTTCTGACACACTTTCCCTAAGCTGTTTTTGATGATCTGGTTTATTTTTTCCACGTGTCCGGAACTCTGAGGTCAGTATGCAGCGTGCAGTTTCCAGGTGATACCCAAGGCCGTTGCTGTTTTCTGAACTAAATCCGCCACAAATGCTGGTCCGTTGTGTGATCTGATGCGCGGTGGCAGTCCAAACCTAGGGTTAAGATTTTGAAGCAGCACACGGATTACTTCTTGGGCCCTTTCAATTCCACCCAGAGTATGTGCACACTAGGACCAACAAATACTTATGTCCCCCACACTTAGGCATTTCAGTAAAGTCTACCTGGAGATCTTTAAACGGAGCTGCTCCATAAGCTTGAATGTCAGGGAGAGTAGTTGGGACCCTGCCTCGCGTTGTGTTGCCGGCATGTAATGCGTTACCGTGCTACAGTTTTGGTCAAGGCTGCTAAGTGTGAGTTGTAAAAGTACCGGCCCAGCATCTTTTTAAGTGACTTTTGACCTAAACGAGTGGTTTTATGTACGGCTTGTACAACCACTGCACATAGCAGGCCCTGGTATTTGGCAGGCTTACTAATGAGGTCTTTTGGTATTTATTGGAGTCACCGCTGTGTTTAAACTTTTCCCAGAGTTGAGGCTAGAAACTTTGATTGCTATTATTATTATTATTATTTGAGAGCAGGAAAAGGATGTGTTAAATTGGCTAGCCCCAAAGCCAGGGCTGACAGAAGTTTTGCTTTTAGCTTTTGCCCCATTTAAAGGGTGTCTTGTCTTTTCCCCTCCTTCCTTTGTCACTTTGTGTAAGGGTTTGGCCAGTAATGCGAAGTTTGGAAATTTACAATTTACAAAACCTACCGCTCCCAGGAGCTTTCTCACCTGCTTTTAGTTTCAGGTATTGTTACTTTGCAAATGGTTTGCTTTCTTTCTGCTTTTAGGCTGCGTTCCCTCTTCCAGATGGTAAGCCTTAGATATTGCATTTGCTTTTTGGCAAATCTGGGCTTTCCTTTTAGACATTTTATACCCACAGTCCTCCGGGTGCCGAAGTAAGGCATTTGTTTGCGGGCCTGACTGCCATGGGGTGTCCCAGTAGCAGTTTATCAGCATACCAGGGCAGCATGCAAGCAGGAAGCTTCTGGGGGGCGGTCACAGGCTGATGCCTCCCCAGCGATGAGGAGAGAGTTTCTGAGCCCCTGGGAAGTTGGGTCCAGGTGTATTGAGTGGTTACACCTCCTTCTGGGTTTCTTTTATTGAAATGCAAATAGTTTTTGACCCTCTAAGGCCAGTCCAATGCAAAGGAGGTATTCTTTAAGTCCAATTAAGTGAGCCAACTATCCGTTGCTGGCAATAATCCTAACTGCGTGTATAAATTGGGTGCAAAGCCACGAAAGCCATGCATGGGCCTGGGCTATAATATCAGCCCTCTGCTTCTGGCTAGGAAGTCTCCACCCTCCTTCCCAAGGGACAATGAGAGCCTGGATGACCCCAGACTGAGGCAGTTTCAGCTGCAGGTAGTCTCCTTTGTTGAATGGGATAGTGGCCCTTGATTTGCACAACAGGTTTTGCCAGAGACGGGGGGCAGGGGCAGTTTATTAAGTACCAGAAAGTCCGTGTTAAAAAGATGTGTAAGCAGCCAATGGCAATAAGCCTAAATGGGGTTATGAGTCTGAATAATAGTTTGCAGTAGATCAATGAGAGCTTGGGGTTTCTCGGTATAAGACAGGTTGTTATTTTTCTAATTGATAAGATTAGCCGAGGTGAACAGCAGGTATGTGAAAACATGCCTTTCTACTGCGTGGCCATCCTTATCCACTCCCGTGTACCTCTGCTCTCTTAAAGGCATCTGCACCCCGGCCTTGAGTTGCAGACGGACTGCCAGAGGGCGAGTTCCCTCCGGGAAGTGGGCAGCAATGGGCAGAGTTTTTCCACACTCTCTTTTGTCTGCTCAAAAGGGATTTAGGGATTGAGGGGTGTGCAGCCCCGGTGGGGATGCTGAGGCTTCTGGCCCAGGGAAAGGGACTCCTTGAGGAGGAGGAGGAGGAGGCATCATTGGCAAAAACTTTTCTGCCTCTGGGTTGACCAAAACCTTGGGAGTCCGCTTTTCTCGGTGCAAGGGGGATGGTGGTTTTTAGCAGTCTGTCCCTTGCCTGCTGAAACAGTCACTGCCTGCTCTCTTAGCCACTTCGGAGGGTTTAACACTAACTGCAACCACGAGTCTATGTGTGGAAGTTGGTCGAGGTGTTCTAGCTCTCCGTATATAACCTCATGCCTTATTTTGGAGACAAGGGACCTGTCTAGGGTCACCTCTGGGGGCCAACCTACCCTAAATGCTGGCCAATTTTTCCTACATTAAAACCTTTAATTTCTCTGGTGTCATAGTTACTTTATAATTCCCACTAAATCACTTGTTGAAATTTTTCAGCATGGTTTCTAAAGGGATGGACTGGCTATAGGAGTGACCGATATTGACACTTTAAAGAAACAATTCCCACAGTTAGGAGAGTGTTAGTTCACTCACAGCGTTCCCGTTCTAGCCTAGCAAGATGCAGCACAGAGCACTCTCCGATTTACATTCATTTCAATCCTTTTACAACGCCCAGAGGCTTCTTCACTCAGCCTTATGTGGCTGTCTTTAATTTTTACAAATTGCTCGACACATGAGGCCCTTCCTAATGGGCCCGATACCTTTTACAACTGATGAGTCCGGTTGGACACATCTACACACATAGACACACATCCAGTTGCCCTCCTTCCAATTCAAAACCATAAGCAAAACGCTTCCAAGGTTAGTTACAGAGAGAGCTACCTTCAAAAGTGCCGATCTGGCACCCGTGGGTGATCAGGCCACGCTTCCACCCAAAATGGGGTGGGCTACTTTCCCGGGTTCAAGCTTACCAAATTCAGTTGTCCAGACTTCCCCAAATACTTGTTCCTCTTCGGTGTTCAGCCACTGGGTGGATCTGCACTGCAGGGCCTCCCTGCTCTGCTCTGGAGAGGCTTTTCCACCGGGTAAATACCTGCCCGGAGGGCTCTCAGGATGCGTCACCCCAGGGAGCAGGAGTCCCCCTGCAGGGATGCTCCACAGGGCTAGGCAGACCACGTAAGAGACTTTTTCCCGCCGTCTGCTATTCAAGACTCCCTTCCCTGCCAATGCACCAAAAATGTAGCAGGAGCAGCCACGGGAAACAGATTTCTTGAACACCGAATAAAGGAGGGAGGAGCTTATTTGGCCGGGAGAGCAGGCAGTAATCTGTTAAAAACTCAGCTCCTCTAACAAAGGAAGGTTATGCCTTTATATAGGCTTATACTTTAGATGTTACACATGGAAGAATCTTAGGTTCATAGTTTTAGGACTCACATGTGAAAAGGTTTTGGTTTACAGTTTTAGGAATCACATATGAAAGGGTTCCGGTTTACAGTTTTAGGACTCACATGTGAAAAGGTTTCCGGTTTGATCTTGTTTTAAGTAAAAACAGTGCCTTCTGGAGAGTTTCCCCAAGGCCTAGCGTGTCACCTACAGGAAGGTAAAACCGGAGGCGCCAGTCGGTTAACCTTTTCTTCTATTGAAATGCAGCATGATAGTCAGAGGGGAAGCTGATCTGAGAAGCCTGGGTCTCCCTCTTCAAAGCCAGTGGGGAAAATGTTTCCCATTACTACAAAGAAACCCAAAAGAAACAGTGGTTTATCTGATGATGGTGGCGTTGTGTCTGTATGTGGTGGTGGGAACCGCCGCAGCCATCTGGAGCATGTGGGAGACAAAGCTGATCTAATAAGCCTGTAAAGAATAAAGAAGAACCTGGGTCATTGATGATGATTGTTAAGGCTTTGAAGCAATCAGCCCTGCAATCCCTCAATCTTGTTATGTCAGACGATAAACCCAAATGTGTCTTCAGTGACACACCTATGATATAAATCAATCAATCAACAGCCTAGGGCCATTGGTGAACCCAAGTGAAGAAGTTGGTAAAAAGTAGCCAAACTTGGTTTGTCAATATCGGGTTTCTGAGTCACTGCCCTAGGACAGAGAAACCTAACACGGAAATTATTTGCTTTTGCCTTAGTCAATCTTAATTTTCCAGATACAGTGACAGAAATGTATACAAGCACAGCCTGCCTGGACAGGAAGAGAGTTTAGTATTCATCTCATGCCATGGTTCTCAAAGCATGGTTCAGGGACCTCTGGGGGCCAGCGAAGCCAAAATTATTTTTATAACAACACCAAGGTGTCATTTGCCTTTTTCACTCTGATTCTTTCACGAGCATTCAGTGGCATATTCCAGAGGCTGCATGACATGTGATAGCAAAACAGATTGAATGCAAAACAGACATGAAAATCCAACTGTCTTCTGATAAACCAGATATTCAAAGAGAGTTCCAAAAATGGAAAACAAGACCACTGTTTTTACAAACATTTTCTGTAAAATAACTATTTTTCATAAAAATATCATTTGTATTTATATGCAATGGGTTTGTTATCATTTTAAAATAAGAAATATTTTATATATTTAAAAATATCTCTAAAGATAAAAGTATATGTAACTCATATAAATGAAAGCTCTTTAGAGTCCTTGATAATATTTAACAGTGTAAAGGGGTGCTGAGCCAAAATACTTTCAAACTGCTGATCGGGTGACCTAGGACAAGGTGAGAGGCACTCATGTAGCTGGGACCGTAGACAGGGGCATGGAACGGTATCAGCTGATCATGGTAACAGCAAATACGTACAGATGCCTGGAACAGGCTAGACATTACACGGAGCATTTACACCTGTTATCTTGCCTCATTCTCATATCAACCATGTATCTTACAACCTTCCGATGGTATAAGCAGGTAGACCCTTCAATACCCATTTTGCAGATGAGAAACCCATGGATTAGGTAAGGCAATCCTCTGCCCAAAGTCTCACAGCTAGTATTATGCTCAAGTCAGGATTCCAATCAGACACCAAAACTAGTGTTTCTGAATCTGGTGTCTTAGCTTTGCACTTTCATGGAGTCAAAACTCGAGCCCCAACACTTACCAGAGTTTGAACTTTGGTCCATACTCTGAGCTCTCTGGGCCTCAGTATCCTCATCTGTATAATGGACATGGAAATATCTAGGTTGTGAGGATCAGTGGAAATTATGGATGTGAGAACACTTGTAGATAGTAAAGTTGATGTGATTATTATGACCCCTGCCTTCAGCTGTGGTCTCTTTTGTGGGGACAATTTTGGGGATGGTTGTGAACATTAAAAATATGGACCCACTTTCATGTATGAACATGTGTGTGTATGCACACATGGCTAGGTGATATGTGGCATATACATTTTTATATTAATACTCTGAGATATACTTCAACCTGCAAATCTCTCTGTCTCTCTCACACACACACAGACACACACACACAAACACACACACACACACACACACAATCTCAGCTGCTTTTGTGGAGGGAGAGACTGGCTTAGCAGGGTTAATAAATGCACCAGCATCCCCGCAGCTAGAATGAGTATCCAGCACAGCACCTGGTCTTAGGCAGTGGGCCATGCCCCCCCATCTCTGGATCACAAACAGTCATCAGCACTTGAGATGTGACAGGCCTTTTCTGAGTTTTTTCTCTTGCAGCACAAAACTAAGGAAGTACCATTTCTAGGCACTATTTTGTGAGGCAAGTAATAGAGTCTGAAACAAATATTAGATATTTACTATAGCAAAAGCACTGAATTGAGATATGCTTTAAAAACACTAAACAGTAAACCAGGGAGAGGAGGGGAACCCCTGGAGACAGAGTGTCTGCAATCAACTCTGGAAGAGGCAGGCAGTGGTCTCAGGCTGTGGTCCTGCTGCTGGCTATGTCTTGGGGATTCCAGTGCCCTCCTCCCTCCTAGCCTTTGCAGTGGGGGAAGAGTCTGGTTTATGCCAGCTCCCTGCTCTAATTCTTAGCCAGTGTGTGTCCTTGGGAAAGCTACATCCCCTCTCTGGGCCTCAGTGTCCTCCACTATGCTCTGAGGATTGATCAGATGACTCATATAATTCTGTGACCCCTGCAAAGTATGACCCTGTGGTTTTACTTACTAGGGCTAGTGTCCCCAGGAGCAAAGGGGCAGAAGTGAGTGATGGGAGAAAGGAGGAGCCAGAGCTTTAGACCAGGGTTTCACATGCCTCTTATGCATCTCCTAGCTCCCCAGGAAGTCTTACAAAGTGTGTGCATAGGGTGTTGGGGATGCTAAGGACCAGCTCTGGGAGAGACAAAAGCCAAGAAATGGAGGCAGGGGCAGAGGGAGAGAACCATATTGGAAACAAAAGCCCCTGTCTGGTCCCTTATTCCTCCATGATGCACTTGCCCCTAGTTCCCTTGTGTTTGTACAACTTTGCCCCTGAAGTCTCTGCACTCATCATGCCTATCTCCCCATGACTATCCCTCCCCCTCCACTCTCTGAAATCACCTCCTCCCTCTCTCTCCTTTCTAGCTGTTAAGAGCCGTAACTCTCTTATCCTCGATGCTTGGACACACAGACTTCTCTTGCCAACTCTTCTGTGAGATGGAAAGAGCTTTTGCTTTGCAGTCAAAAGATGTGGCCTCTAGGTCCACCTCTGTCACTTACCACTTGTGGGCTCTCAGGCAAGTGCTTCTCTTATTTGAACCTCAGTTTCCTTATTTGTAATTTAGGGCTAAAATGGATACATCTTCACAGGGTGTTTTGGTGATTACACATGAAGGCACTTAGTAAGCTGATGTGGTGCTTAAATGCTATCATTTGACTACACTGTGCTCGATTTAATTTTATTTTGTTATCTCCTTTAGCGCCCTTGTGAAAATAGCGAGGTTTGCACACAGAGGTATATCTTGGAGAGAAAGCCTATCTACCTTCCATGGGGCCCTTTACTTTTACACACCACACACACACACACACACACACACAGAGTTGAGGCTCCAAAAGTAGATTTAAGAGAAGGCAGGTGAGGGGGAAAGGGCAGTGCACTCTGCAGGGAGGGAGGAAGAACAGAAAAAAAGAGAGGGTTTCCCTTGCCCCTGGGTTTTCTCACCTGAATGTCCACAAGTGGTAAGTGGACAGATACTCATTACTGGCTGAATTGTATGAAGACTCCTAAGAAATGTACCCTCCCAACTTGCCTCCTCTCAGTACCTCCACAGTCATATTATCTGAATATGAACATTCTGCCTTGTAGAACTGGAGTAGCAAGTTTGGGAGTAGCAAGAGCTTGGATGTGAGGCTGCTGTGGCCTCATCAGGAACTTTGCGGAAGCCGGCGCAGGCTAACCGATACAGTTTGGATGTTTTCCCCCTCCAAATCTCACGCTGAAATGTAGTCTCCAGTGTTGGAATCCCCAATTATATCCTGTCAATATTGAAGGTGGGGCCTGGTGGGAGGTGACTGGATCATGGGGGAAGAGCTCTCATAAATGTTTTAGCACTATCCCCTTGGTGATAAGTGAGTTCTTGCTCAGTTAGTTCACATGAGATCTGGTTGTTTAAAAGGGTCTGGACCACCCCCTCATCTTTTTTGCCATGCGATGCACTGGCTCCAGCTTTACCTTCTGCCATGAGTGAGAGCTTTCTGAGGACCTCACCAGAAGCAGGTGCCAGTACTATGCTACTCATACAGCCTGCAGAACCATGAGCCAAAATAAACCTTTTCTAAAATATAAATTACCCAGTCTCAGGTATTTCTTTATAATGATGCAAGAATGGCCCCGTACATGGAGCTTGGGCCAGGAACTCCCCAGCTTCCATGGCTGGTCCTGAGGCAATGGTTCCTGGGGGGCCTTTAGCTGGGCACCCACCATGTGCCACTCTAACCCACAGTTCAAAGAGCACAGAGAGGATGGGTGTGGTTCTGGTCTGGCTCAGTGGGTGGTACAACCCAGCAGTGGATCAAGTTTCGCCAACAGGACCCTCCAAGTCATATGGCATCTGGGTTATATGACCAATCACAGCAGAATCCTAATCCCAGCAGAATTCTGTACTCTTTGGATACCTGGAGGGTTGTGATCTCTATAATCCATGCCCCTCTGTGGTCCTAACTCCTTCTGCACCCACATTCATTTACCCCACCCTGGCACAACACAGGGCAGGATCTTTAGCAGAACCTGGAGGGCTAGCTGTGCAGACCTGAATTATCAACTACAAGGTGTCTGGGCATGGGAAACTGGCAAAGAGTGCTGGGAGAGGGCAGGGGCAGCAAAGATAAGTCAGGTTGCCCAGCTTTCATTCTGTGAACACTTTTGGGAGAGACGGACAGGGGTCTCACCTGGAGGAGGGAGTGAATCATTCTTCCTCAAAGGATACATCAAGAACTCAATATGTGTATATATTAGGGGTGAAGATGTGCAAACTTTCCCATAGTTGGGAAGGCACATTTGCCACCAAAATAGTGGCTTCATTCTCCTGGCAAAGGGAAAGGACTAACATTTATGAAGCACCTACTGTGTGTTCCAAGGTTATATGGTTGCTGGGCTGCCTGAGGACAGAGGAAAAGATGACTCTATAAAATTATTATTACCATATTCTGCAGACAGAAGACACAGTAAGCTGCCCAAAGTCACAAAACGAGTCATTGGCCAAGCCAGAATTAAAACACAGGCCCTTGATGTCAAAGCTGATGCTCTTTTTACACCTGCATAATACGTCTCTGAAATCATATAACCCTGACCAGAATAAAAGTGAGCTGGAATGAGTGCCTGGGTCTACAACTGTGGGAACCTCAACTCTTCCACAGTCACCAAAGTCAGGGAACTTCGTAATGCACAAAGATGGAAGAAAAACTCCCCTCCAACCAGCCTCTTGTACTCCATGAGACAAATGTTCACATTCTTGCTGCCTGAGTCACACACACCAGTAAACAGTACAAATATTGATCCACATATTTCATGTTTATAGCCTCTGTTCTACAGAGTCCTTAAGCAGCTCCTATACATCAATTTATTTGTCAACAGGTGTGGCGGTCAAGGTGAAGGGTCAGTACCATGAGGCCACCCTGAGGGATCCTCTGGGGACCCTGGGGTGGCCTTGACACAATACACCAAGGTATAGGGAGTAAAGCTGGTGGTAATCATCTTTGGGTAGGGGTGGGTCTAGGTTTCAAGGGGAAAAGGTAAAACTTGTGCTTTGTTCTGTATAATATTTAGCTTTGAACAGAAGAGAGACATGAAGAATGTAAAAGAGCACTTGGCAAGGTCCTAGACAAGATGGGGTTGGAACAGAAAATGAGTAAGGGAGAAGAAAGCAGGCAGAGACTGTACAAGGTAAGAATGAAGAAGAAAGAAGGTAAGAAGCCAGCAAGTTGAGATTGTCTTTCCTTTCTCCTTCTTCCTAAACTGAAGTAAAAAGGGAAAGTCTGCTGAGACTCACTCACATTATTAAACATGTCTCTAGGTAATCCAGGTCTCCCCACCCCACCCACCAGTGTATCTACCCTCTCTGAGCCATTGGGAACAAGGCCCATGTCTACACAGGCAAAACAATGAGCATTTCCACACTTGAATGTAAGTCATATGGATGGAAAATGAACAAGATGGGTTGCTTCCTCTAGGAGAGGGTTTCTCAACCTTGGCACTGTTCATATTTTGGGCCAGACCATTTTTTTGTTGTCAGGGAGCCTTCCTGTGCTTTATAGGATGTTTAGCAGTGCCCTAGGCCTCTACCCACTAGAAGCCAGTAGAACCCCCAGTGAGGCAACTAAAAATGTCTCTAGACATTGTCAAAATTGCCCCTGGTTGAAAACTGCTGTTCCAGCAAGCTACGGGCTATATGCTTCCTTGAACGAGTTTTTAGAAATAGTTATTCTACCTTCCTACATCTTGAAGGACCTGCCTCACGACTGGCCTCAATGTGTATCCCGCTCTCCGTCCCCATGTCTGATGATGCACTTCTAGATGTACCCAGAGAGAGAATTTGTACAAATACCAAGGGTGAATGCTTTTCTTCTGCCTCTGAGGTCCACTCCTCAAACACCCCTGCAAAATCTGGAATAGACTAGGAATAAAAAGCTTTAGTACTGACCAGCGAGAGGCAGAATCATTGAGGAGAATTCTGAGTCAGCAGAGCCTGGTTATGGGGCCCCTCTGCCCTGGGGACAAGGATCCCTCCATCTTTTCTTGTGCAAGTAGAAGCAGAAGACACCTGGCAGGCTGCAACTACATGTGTGCCCTTCCTTTCTCAGGATCCCATGGCCCTTGTTCCTGTGTTTTTCCATCTGCAATGGAAAAGACTGGACTGGAAAACCTATAAGGTTTCCACCCAACTCTGATGAACCACGTTCTGAGAGTTTATGACTGCAAGGTTATATAATTAGAAAAAGCCTGATCTTGCGGTGCATTAACGATATGCAGAGCATGCTATGAATTCCCTCACGGTTACCTTTTAATTACCTGAATGGATATAGGCAAAGCATTGCTAATTTGAAAGGAAGAGATAAATCCAAATCTAATCTGGCTGGACATCAAATGCAACATGAGTCTCTCTCTCTGTCAAACACACATACACACACATATACAGGCACACACACATCTGTAATACAAAGGAGATCCCCAAGAGCTCAAGGAGAAGCCACACATGGGAACAGTTCATTGATAACTGAGAGTTAGCCAAAACATTTGGCTATTTTAACATTTTTAATTTAACAGATAACATTGATATATATGTATTGTGTGCAATGTGATGTTTTGAAGTATATGTATCCAAATATATATTTTGATTCATTTTTAGCAATAAGCCAAAGCCTAACTTGACCTGAATGCTTGGTTAATGTTTAATGTCCAGCAAAATGCCAGAGTGCCCGTGCCTTTAACTCTCCCTGGCCTAACAAGATCAATGGAAGAAAACATCTCTGCCCTCTCATCCTGAATTTCCCCAGGGCTGTTTCATTTTCTCTCTGTCTCAGTGTCTCTCCATTTGCATACGTCTCTGAGTCTCTGCATCTCAGTCGCTGGGTCTCTGTCCCTGTCCACCTCTGTGTGCACCTCTGTGTGTCTCCATCATCTTTCTGTGTGACCCGCCCACCCCCACCCCACCTCCACCTCCCTCCCTCCTTCCTCCTTCTTGCTCTTTCTCCCACCAATCACAACAAATTGACACGGAGCAGAGGCCCTGTCAGGAACATTATCTGCCTGTTCAGACCAAAGGGGTTTTCTTTGTGCATCTCGCCGTGATTCATCTTCAGAGGGATCGATTCCTGGGCATCCATCTCTGTGTCTGCAGAAAAGCTCTAAAGCTGCTGCTTCCCCACTTGGCCTGGACCTCTTGCTCTCTTGCAGCAACAGCTCTGTGGTTTGCTGGCGTCCGCCCCTCCGGAAAAAAAAATCACTCAGGGGTGGGAGGAGATGCTGACACCACCGAGGCCAAGCTAAAAGCAGCTCCTTGGAAGGAGCAGAGCCAGGACAATGGGCCTGGGATGAGAACTCCAGCCAGCTCCCAGCCCCCTCCGCCCACCTCGGAGGGCATGCCTCTCATCTTGTGTGCTCAACATCGTGATTATTTATGGAGTTGTAAAGTGTCCTTCAAGCAGCTCATTCCTCTCAACAAGCTGTAAGGCAGGCGAGAGAAGGCTCCGGCCAAAACCGGGCTGCCTGGGGAGGAGGTGGCAGGGCTGGGAGTGAGGGAGAGACCCCTTCATCCTCCCCCGCTCAACTCGCCTTTCAGGCTGACCTTGGAAAGTGCAGACTGGCTCAGATTTCCTCTGCTGTGGATGTCTTCCCCAGAGAGCTATGTGCTAGCTGTGTGCTCCGACAACAAGGGAAGCACGCAGGGCCTGCTGGAGGGGTGACAGTGAGCACGTCCAGGGTCTGAGCAAAGACAAGAATGAGGTGTGAGCTGGCCTTGACTCTACTGTCTTTCCCCAGAGCTGATGATCTCCCTGCTGTGTCAGGCAGACTGGGCACGGCCTCCACAAGCCCATTTCTAGGTCTAGGTAAGCAGAGATCACTGCTGAAGCCCTTAGGACAAGGCTGAAACTCTCTTGAGGCTGTTCTGGCTGTTGGTATGCCCCTGGCCCAAGCCAAGGGTGTTGGGGAGCATTCTAAGTGTTTCTGGAAATGATGGTGGACAAGGATTACCTAGGAGTGGCCCCCTCAGACCTCACAATCTGAGATACAGGGAAGACAGGGGTTTTAGGAATGAGGGTTCTCTGTAGCATGCTGTACTGACATCTGGATCAGATTGATGGTAATCCTGGCCATGCTTTTTTGTAGGAGAATAATCACTGAATACACCAAGGATCAGAATGGGAGCAGACCAGGCATCAAGAGGTAAGTCCTGAGAGGTTGGGAATGTGAGCTGACCCATGAGTAACTAACACTATCAGCAGCTGAGGGCAAGCGGGCATTTGCTCCTGGAGTCAGAGATGAAGTGGCTGATAATAGAGAAGCAGGGCTCCTCCGCAACTTGGAATGGTGGTGCAGTGGACTTGATGCTCAAGCATATGCTCTCAGGCACCCTGGGTTTGAATCCTGGCTTTAGAGTCAGCAAGCTGTAAGACTCCAGGCAGCTCCCTTATCTTCTGTGTGCCTCAGTTTTCCCAACTGTACAATGGGGCTAATATAATATCGATATGTCTCCTAGGTATGTTGCAAGAGTTAATAAGATAATAGACCAGTGCCTAGCTTATTGCAAACAGCTGTTATTATTTTCATAGCTATTACTGGACTTGGGAATTGAATTTGATTTTCACCCAATTCCAAGTCCAGACCTTAAACCAGATACTTCATTTCTTCAGCCTTTGGTTTCTTGTATAAACCTGTTTTTATCTCACAAGGTTGTTGTGAGGATTAAATGTGAATGTATGTGGACACATTTGCTAAAACTGCAAGTGATTATCCAAATGTGAGCTGTTCCCAGGTACCACTGGGGGAGGGGACAGCATCTAAGAGATGAGGAAGAAAGGAAATGAAGACCCACATCTGGATTGGGTCTTGGGAGGTATTAAGCACACCTTCATGAGGCAATCCAGGAAGACTTCCTGCAAGAAGAGGGTTGCGCAAGCTTGTCTCTCAGCAGTCTGAAGAAAAGGTGACTCTGTGGGAATATTTGACAAGATGCTCTGAGCAGTGACACCTACTGCCATGGGCTATGTAATAAGGAGCAATAACTCCAAACCAGGTTGTTGCCCTCTTGGGTCTGCAGAGGAGGAGAGCCACGGATCTCATGGAGAGTGTGTCTGGGACAGCATCATCTCCAGGAGGACATACATACTCTAATCCTGTCAAATGTTTGTTTCCCCCGAAGCCGCAAAGGCCCTGCCATTAGTGGTATTCACAAATATTTTGGTTCTTCCTCTTCCCTGGCACATGGTAGGATGCATGTCTGCGTGCCTTAAAGTTAGGCATGGCATATGATTTGTCTGCAGCTTGTATGTCACGTGCGATGAAATGTAGACATGCCTAATTGCCGGCACTTGACTTCAATTTTCCTTTTTTTTTTGCATTAGAAGCTTGTGTCCAGATGATGCCTCTCTCAGCCTGGTCTCTGAGTGACTAGGCAAGCAGATCTTGCTTCCAACTTGTGTCCAACATGTAACACGAGCAAGGAATAAAAACCCTCTTTGCATGAAATTGCTGAGATATCGGGGTCATTTGTTTCTGCAGCACAGGCTAGCTCATTCTGACTAATGTGCCCTAAAACATACAGTCTCAGCACCTGCCTTGTATTGCTATGTCTAGCCTTCAAGTGGAACCTGGATCTACTTGCCCATGATCCCCAGTGCAGCTACAGTGACATTCAAAGAGGAATAGAGGGGAGGACTAGAACCCAGGTAAACAGGGAGTAAAAACAGGAGGTGCTGAGCCTGGGGTGCCCCACCTCATGAGAATAAGTTTTGCTGGGCTTAGAGAAATGCTGAGCCGATCTTGTTCACCTCCACGACATTTTGTTCTGTGTTCCTGTCACAGAATTGCCCCTTGAACTAGAATATTCAGATCTTTCCTCACTGATGCACAGGCTTCCCTAGAATGGAGAACTTTAAAAGAGGAGTGGCCTAGGAAATGGCACCTACGGTGATCTTATCTTATTCCCCAATTCTTCCCCCCCCCCACCCCGCCCACCGTCTCAAAACAGAATCCTCTCAGTGCCCAGGCTTTTATCTCATTGATCTGGATGTGATTTACAGCAGATAATAACAAATAACCATTATAATAATACTAGCCTTTTGCATAACACTTACTATGCGCCAGATGGTGCTTTAACCACGCTACGTGCTTAAAATCTTCACCAAAACCTCATGAGGAAGTACCATTGTTCCCATTTTTCAGATGAGGCAACTGAGGCACAGAACAGCTAACTAACCTGCACAGGATCACACAGCCCATTCACACCCAGTCCGTGTGGCTCCATAGCCCCTGCTCTTAATCACGACACCATACCACAAGCATAACATTTTATCTCCCTGGAATCTGGCTTCTTGGCAAGGGGTCCCATCTGTTCTATCTTGGGGAGACTCCGGAGTAGGGATGGATTTCAGAGTATCCTCTGAACAGAGTGGCGATACCATGTCACATGCATCAGACCCTGCTATGACCAGAAGCTCTTTGGTGTCTCTGCCAGCCCTCTGTTCCCCCAGGCCGACTATAGCCCCCGCCTATTATTTCAAGAGCAGCTCTTTTACTGGCTACATCAGAAGTAGATGTTGACTTCTTGAGGCACACCCCGCTGTTGGTGGCTACCCAACAGCTATTGCTGTCTCCCTTCTACGAGAACACTTGTCTGGGGTAGGTGGGATGGTGCCAAGCTCATTGCCACACTTCTTCAGCTGTGAAGTGAGTTCCTTGGTCATAAGCAGTGCTGTATGGAATATCATGTTGGTAGATAAGGCATGATGAGGATAAAACCTGCTTGTTCTAATTGGTTGTGATAACTCCATTCTCTGTTGCCAGTTACTATTCTAGGACTGGGCATGTAACTCTGTTCCGGCCAACGAGATGAGAAGAAACCCTACACGGTGTTGGGAGTTGCTGAGGAACCTCTTCCTCCGAGGAGGAATGCCCCTCCCACCTTGTCTCTCAGGAGGTGAGCAGCCATATAGCAACTTGAGGGATGATGACCTGTTGGCCTGGCAGAGTGGCCAGGCAGGAAAAGCCTGGGGCTTGGATGACCTCACTGAGCTGACCAAGCCTGGAATGACCTCTTTTTTTTTTTTTTTTTTGGGACGGAGTTTTGCTCTTGTTACCCAGGCTGGAGTGCAATGGCGCAATCTTGGCTCACAGCAACCTCTGCTCCCTGGGTTCAGGCAATTCTCCTGCCTCAGCCTCCTGAGTAGCTGGGACTACAGGCACGCGCCACCATGCCCAGCTAATTTTTTGTAATTTTTTTAGTAGAGACGGGGTTTCACCATGTTGACCAGGATGGTCTCGATCTGTTGACCTCGTGATCCACCGGCCTCGGACTCCCAAAGTGCTGGGATTACAGGCTTGAGCCACCGCGCCCGGCCCTGGAATTACCTCTTTTACACCCAAAATCCCCCTACTACTGAAGCCACTTTTGTTCAGATACTCGGCTGCTTGCTGCCTAACAGATCTTACCAAGAACAACTCTCATTGGTTTATTTTCTCCGAGGATACCTCCGATGAGGTATGAAGCGAGGGGACCCAATTAGTCTGGAGGCAGCCACATTCCCACGCTTAGAAAGACCACTGTGCTAATATCTGAGAAATGAAAGCATTCTTCAGGTCAGGTCTCAGTGACCAAAACACAATTAACTAACTCATTGCTCATTTTAAATCAAAGTATATTCAGTATCTAATCTTAAATACAATCATACAACTAATTTTTTGCCAGGGAGACAAAATTCCACTAATGTCTTACAGAGAACTCTCCCATACACAGGTTGACGCTTACTTTCCTTTAGTTCCAGCTGGAGATAATGACAGGTGGAACTTTAAGAAGCTTCCTCCATAGGGCCCTGTGAGGTGCTGGGTGTGTAGAAAGGATGGGAGAATGGTACCTTGAAAAGGATAAGAGAAGCTGCACAGAGTATGAGCTAACTCCCTGGTGGGGAGCAGCCCCTCAAAACCTGACCGTGGGAACAAGAAGCAGTTGCTCAGGGACTCCAAGACTGAAAGTTATAAGCTTTAAATTGCTGATCCACATTTGCTGTGTGACCCTGGGCACTTCTTCCCTTCTCTGAGCCTCCATGTACTCAAGAGTAAAAACAGGGCAGTAGCATCTAGACTGGTGAGAATGGAGGGAGGCTGGAGTAGGGGTTAGAAAAAAGGACAGCCATTACTAGTACTCTGGTTCCCATCCTGGCCTGGGATAAGCAAAGTGATTTCTAACAGAACTCTTTAAATTCCTCAGTGGAGAGGCAGTGCCACAAGCAGGTGGCTATGCCCATTGAGACATCCAGGCTGAGTAGGAGTGGCTTTGGAGGGCATCCACCACAGAAGAAAACATGTCATGTCTTTCGGAGGCAGATTCTGTGGTGGGGCTGAGTCTGTGGCTGCCTTGCTCTGATTGGCAAGAGGAAGCTTACCTTGAATGAGATTCTAGAGGATCTGGGTAGGAATTCATCAGGTCAGCATAGAGTAGTAAAATAAGCCATGTTTGGGAGCCAGAATACTGGGATTTTTAATTCAGCCCTGCCACTGACCAGCTTGAGAGTCTTGGGAAATATATTTAAGGGGTATATGCCTCAGTTTCCCCATCTGGAAGGTGGGACTCATAACCCTGTCACAGGAACATGGGAGATTTGGTGGTGATGCAAGCACTGAACAACTGGTGGCCAGAGCTTCTCCTATGACCCATCACCAGCTATTCTGCACATAGAATTCAGCATGGAGCATCCAGCACGTAGGAGGGGGTGTTCGGAGTAGAAGAGTAAGTACAGTGGCTCATTTTCAAGTCCAGTTCCTCACTTTAATTGAGTTTTGCTGAAAAGCCCCATGCAAGCACTTTTCCTGCCATTTTGCCAGATTTGATTCTCGCTGATAACACAAATGCAAGCGGCTGCTGAAGATAGATGACTGCTGTTGGCAGTGGGACGGGATGCTATGGATGAGCAAGTGGGCCTGGGAAGAGCAGAACTTGCTCTGCTCCAATCAGGGCCCCTATTGATGTGCCTCTCCTCACAACCCCCTGCTCATGCCCGTCCTGCCCGGCCATTCCCAGCTGACATTTCTAGTCCTCACCCTCACCAAACACCCTGCAGGACAAGAGCACTCACAGTGTCTAGGTACTACTCTTTGTTTAAGGCTGCCTAAGTGATCAAAGTGTGTCTTTTGGAAGATGTCGTCATAAGGCTCCTGAATTAGGATCCATCCACCAGGTTACCTGGTAGAAAGCAGGACACCGATGGAATGGATGTGGGAAAGGGTAGCTTTGGATAGTGATGGCAAGGTGGGAGATGAGTCAAGTTGCAGGCTTTAGTACCTATGTGATGGAGCAAGCCTCTCCGAGATGGAAAAGCCTTTGTAGGTTCAGTTTCAAAGAGGGTCAGCCCATTTCCTTCACCAGCAGACCAGTTACAGGGAAAGTTACCCACCACTCATCCTCATACACGTCACATTCCACACACTGCAACAGGGTAGGAAGATAGAAGCTGTTACAACCCTCAGTGCAGGATTAGCAACAGAAAGTAAACAGAAAACCAAATGGGAGTAAGAAGATCCCGCCGCCTTGCAGTTATTGCCACCTTTCAAAAGAAACTCCAGTCATTTTCTCTAAATGGAGCATTCTTACCTGAGGGAAAAAAAAAACCCTGCAACTTGAAAACAAATCAAATGAAGAAATAAAGGCTCCATTGTGATTCTAACTCTTACCCCAGAGGAATTCCAGCTCATCACACTTCTTAGTTTCTCTTTTGATGTTACGTCTTTTAAAATAAAATATTTTAGCCATAAAAAGTATAGCTAATAATAAGATAAACATTATGGATCCACTGACCATTTTACAAAATTAAACATTATAGTTTGAATTGAAAGCCCTTATAAACGCTTCCCAGGCTCCTCACACTCCCACGTCTAGTGTTTGTCATGCCCATTTCTATACAGGTTTTCATGCTTGCCCAGGAGATGCGTATCCGCAAACAATATAAAGCGTTGGTTTATATTTTTTAAAGCTTTATACAAATGGCATATTCACTGCCTCTCCTGAAACGTGTTTTTTCTTTATTCAATGTTACATGTTTGAGATGTATTCACGATGATCCATGTAGCTCTGATTGAATCATTTTCTCTGCTGTATAGATGGACATTTTGGTTTTCTCCAGTTGTTGCTATTGCAAACAAAGCCACTGTTAGCATTCACACTCACCTCTCCTTGTGCACAAATAGGAGAGATCCTAGGTACACACCCGGGAAGAGAATGCCTGAGTAGAAAATGTACCTTATCACTTTCACAAGGGGAGGAAAGGTGAATGAAGCAAGGGTGCCGCAAGGACCCCTGGCTGAGAACCTCCCACACCCACATGGCAGGGAACATTTTGCCCAAAGGCAGCAGCATCTACCCTAATGAGCAAAATCAGACTGTGGTCAAAGTAGCCAGAAGTTTTGACAATTGCTGTCCTTTCCTCCTAAGGAAGGTGTGGACAGAGAGAATGGTGTGTGAGGGGAGGTGTGTAAGAGAGAGAGAGAGAGAGTGTGTGTGTGTGTGCGTGCGCGCGCGCACATAAGATCCACAGAAGCTGTGTCCTTTGTCTTTTGGACCAATGCATCCCAGCACCTAGGGCAGTGTCTTGCCTGCATGTGCATGCAGTAAATACTCCTTACTTGAATAGATACCATGCATGGATGTGCACATGTGCACCCATGTACATGTTCCGTGCTGAGGGGAGCTTCCCATTCAGGGAGCGCACAAGAGCCGAGATGTTGGGAGGCAAGACGATCTGGACTCCCAGCTCCTTAGTGCAAACGTAACGACAGACCATCAAGCCTTGAAGAGAGGCAAGTGGTACCTGCCACCTGCATTTCTGGGAAAGGATGGAAGAAGAAGATCCTTGGCATTTAGACAGCACGACAAAGCCAGAGGAAAACTCGAAGGAAGGCTTGTGGTCATCTTCCTCACAATAGCAAATATCCTCCTCAGCAAGTCTGAAGAGCCAGCAAATGGAAGCCAAAGAAGTAACAAATGAAAGCAAAAAGGAATTTAAAAACTAAACAGACAAGATAGAGAAAACCCGACACGATGGATGATACGAAGCAGTTTAACTTGGAGGAACCACCACCTTAACTAGAGAGACTCTCAGGGACCTGGAATTTTGTTGCCCTGGACCTCAGGTTGTGACCCCTGCCTTCCCAGACCATGGAAGCTTTGGGGGCAACTTAAGTAGAAGTAATAATTTCAGCTGTTTCTACTTTTTTCCCCATGGTAGAAATATGGTAGGCAGAGAGCAGGCCAGGATTCTGTGCTGACGGAATGACAAGGCCGACAGGCAGGAAGAAAGTGGCAATGGGAGAGCAGGGTACATAGTGACTCTTGGGAATCTAGGGGAATGGGCCAGCAGACGGTCAGTACCAGCAGCCTGCCGGCTAGCACCACATGGATAGTGAATGAGGAGGGTTCTGGTCTCTGGGCCAGGTTCTGACGAAAGCAGGGCAAGCTCTAGTCCTACTGGAGGAAGGACCCAGTCTCTGGAGCCAGAGATCCAGGTCCGTGTCCTGCCTGTGTACCCTTGGGCAAGCTGTTTGCTCTCTCTAGGCCTTGACTTTATTGTCTGTAAAATGGGAATGATGATAAGTAACATTGAGTCAGTGCTCACCATGTGCCAGGCATTGCCTAAGAGTTTTTGGCATATCGTGTAAGCAGGTTTGGGAACTCTTCCTGTTTTGCAGATAAAGAAAGCAAACCTCAGGGAGATGCCTCCAAGAACTGTTGTGAGGACCTTGTACATGTGATGTGTGCAAAGCATGTCACACAGCAGGAGCTTACCATCAGCTGTGTTTTGATTGTGGCTACTGTGGTGGGGGCTGGGGTCCCAAGCACATTGCCCACCCACAGCCTCTGGCAAAGGAATGGGTCAAGGAATCTGTCATTTCTGGGATTCAAAAAGGGTGAGTGCCTTCAGGA